AGACTCCACTCCGCCTTCCTCTGACTCCCCGGACCTCCCACTCCCGCCCGCCCTCGGGATCGACTAGATCCCTCCCTCTCCCCGAGGATTCCGGCTGGATCTCTGCCCCTGCACCGCGGATCCTGCTCTCCCGGGCTTCGGGCCCCTGGGGATTGCGGTGGACTCCTCCTCCCGCACCCGATTCCTTGGGATCCTCCGCCTGTACCACCTCCTGGCCCCTCGAAGCCGGCCCACGGAGCCAGTGGATCCTCAATCCAGTCTTGTCCCGTAGCCTCCTCCTCACTCCACTGGCCCCACTGCGGGGTTCCCTGTTCTCGGGTTCCTCCTGACCCCCTCCCCTCCCCTCCCCGGGGATCGACTGGATCCCGGCCCCGCCCCCTGGGGCTGGGGCGATCCCCCTCAGGTTCTTTAAAAAGATAAACAAGATTGAAAAACTTTTACCAGACTCAACAACAATAACTAAAATGAGAGAGGATACATAGAAATAAAATCAGAGGTGAGAGTGGTGGAGGCACCACGGCCCCAGGGCTGAGCCAGGTAGGAGCTAAGCCGGGCCGGGTGGAGGGGCTGCGTGGCGGTCCGCTGGGGTCTCCCACTCCCCATCTCTTTCTGCGCCTGGTTCCCCCCAGCCTGCCTGTCTGCATGTCTCCGCCTAGGGATGCTCTCCCGTGTCTCTCCGTCTCCGTCTCTTTGTCTCTGCCTCTCTCCAGCCCATGAATGATCCTTTGAATGGGCCCACAGACCCCGTGTGTTCCCATCTCCCCTCCCCCTCCTCCCCTTCCCGGCCAAGCCATTTCCCCCACTGCAGGGAGAGGGGGGGCTGCGGCCTGAGCCCCTATCCTTCAACTCTCCCGGCTGGGGGAGTCAGGCCTGGGCAGGGATGGAGAGAGCAAGGCAGAGAGATAGGAGGGGGGCGGGGGGGGGAGGCAAGATGTGGCAGACAGAAAGGAGAGAGAAGGGGAGAGGAAATGGGGGAGACAGAGCTGGGGAAAGAGGAGAAGGAGAGAGAGAAATAGAGAAGGCTCGAGGGAGAAATTTGGGGAAGGGGTTTGAAGGAGAGAGGAAGATGGGAAGCACTAAGGAGGGAGATGAAGAAGAGAGTGATGAAAGAAGACAGGGTGAGACTGAAGACAGAGCTGGAGCTGTGTGTGGGGAAGCGGCTGGGAGAGCTGCTCTGGGAGTGCTACGGGGAGGAAAGAGATGGGGGGCAGAGGGAGGGAGAAGGGAGAGAAGCTGGCAGGGAGAGGTCCAGGGGCCCAAAGTACCTTCAGGGAGGAGGGGTGACAGGCAGATAGACTGAGTTAGTAGGAGGGGGAGGGGTGGCAAGGCCATGGAAGCAGAGCCCAGACTGGCATGGGCAGAGGAGACCCTGAGGGAGCCAGCCCAAGCCCCCTCCGGGTGATGGGGGAGCAGGAGCTTTGGAGGAACTGAAGACGGGGAGGGCATGACTAGGTGTGTGTGGTAAGGATTCCTGTGTCCTCATCTCTGGAATAAATTGACACCTGCAGAGAGCCACCCGCGGGCTGGCGCCTGGCTCTGAAAACCCCGCGTCAGCAAACAGCTCTGGCAGCTGGGGGGTGGGGGGGTGCTGAAATGACCCTTCAGTCTGATCTCTTCCTCGCCCTGCTCCTCTGCCCTGAGCACTCAGGCCTCAGAGCAGCATCGGTGGGGGACTGGCAAGGGGAAGGGCAGGTGAATAGCTGAGATGGGATGAGGAGAAAGCCTGGGTTTGCCCCCAGGACATGGGTCAAAATGCCATGCATGAGAGAAGTGCCTGTAGTACTAGGCTGTTCAAGACTTGGGGCGGGAGGGGGGGGCAGTCAGTGGGTGCATGTGATGGCCTCCAAACCCACCTCAGCACCCCTTCTACCCAGCCAGAGGCCTGGTCACTAGGACTAGCCTCTGATTGGCCAACAAGGGCCAAGAGGCGGGTCCTTTAGGGTTCTTTAATGCCCCCAATCTTCTGCTCCCCTCAACATATATACTTCTTCCTCTGTGCTAAGGTTTGGGGAAACTCTAGCATTCTGATTCCTGCCTCTGCCCTCATGGCCAGAATGGACCCCATAACCAAGCCAGTCCATTACCCTCTTCCTCCAGACCCGAACCCCCCCCCCCCCCCCCAGGGTTAAAGCTGCAGCCCGTTGCCGAGGTAACATTGCGGGGCAGCATCCCTGTCGCTGGGCAACCGGCTGCAGGATCACGCATCTGTCCCTGGATTTGCCCCCACTCATCATCCCCTCCCTATTCTAGCCCCTGCCTCAAGGCATCGTAACTTCTGAGGGAAGAAATGGAGAGAGCCTGGGGAAAGGACCCCCCCACACACACTGATGCACAAATGCCTAGGGAATGGGGTGCTGAAGGCAGGAGAAGGTGCTGGGCTTGTGCAATCCCAGGAAAGATCGGGAGTCTGGCCTGGGGTGGGGGTCCATGCCATGAAGTCACAGCTCAGGAGTAATTCACACGTATAAACAAACCCTCCACTTCCTGCTAATTAATGACTGGGTATTTTTATTTTCTCTTCCTTGTCTATCTCATCCCTCCCCGGGAGGTGGGAGCTGGGATCTGAGTCCCTGAGGGGAGCCTCCTGGTTGGGGTAAAGCGGCTGGAAGGAGGCAGGCGGCGTCTGGGGAGCCGCCCGTCCTGCCCTCTGCTTGTGTCCTGGACTTTTACCACATCTTGACCTGACCCCCAGCCTCAGACTTTTCTATCTGGGTCCCTGCTGATGGAGGGGGTTTTCGGGTGGGGAGACGGGCTGGGGGGCCTGAGGGTGGAAGGAGAGGGTCAACCAGTCTGAATTCCAAGCCACTAACCACTTGTCTCTTCTGTTTCCCCATTCCTTTCTGTCTGCCCCTCTTCCCTTCCCTTCTCCCACCTCTCCCATGTATGTTTCTGTCTGTCTGTCTGTCTGTATCTTGCATACCCTCTCCCTTCCACCCACAGGTCCAGCCTGCATTCACCTTCTCCCACTTCCTTCCCCTTCCCTATCCCTTGCCCCCTCCATGGAAAGGAACAGACCCCTTCTCTGTCCGGTCTAACCCAGGTCCCTTTCCACTCCCCTTCTCCCTCCTTTCCCACCCCCTCCTCCCTCCTGGGGCGAGGGGGGGCCTCCCTCCCTCTCCCCCCCCTTCTCTCTCTCTCCGAGGGGCTCTCTCTCTCTCTCCTTCTCTCTCTCATCACCCCCTTTTTGGAGAGCGAGGCCCCTGGAACCCCAATCCATCCCCTTCACTCCGCGCAACGCCACCACCCTGCCACCCGCCTGCCCGCAGAACCTGCACGGGGCGCTGCCTGCGATCATGCTGCCTGTGTGGTTCACGGACAACTTGGAGGCAGCCGCCACCTACGTGCAGAACCAGAGCGAGGACTGCCTGTACCTCAACCTCTACGTGCCCACCGAGGACGGTAAGGGCGCGGGCACCAGGCCGGGCATCCCGTGGACACAGCCCCCAAACACACATGCAGAACCTTGGGCGCTGGCACAGTCCGGGATGGGAGCTGGGCTTTGCGGAGACAGTGAGCGGACAGTATATCCCGGCCGGCTCTGCATGCCCTCCCGGGTGGGTTGGGTGCCGGCTGAACAGTCCCAGGAATGACTGACTCCCATATAGACAGCCACCCAGGAGTTCATTGTGCCCATAGAGAGCCAGTGGTAGAGTCAGCAGGCACTAGGCTGGACTGACCCTCCCCGACCCCACAGAGGAAGCACCCATCACCCTGCCTAGGCAGCCATTCCAGCTCTGCCCGCACCCCCCTCCCCACCAGGCCTGGACTTGTCCCTGGCTTGTCCACTTTAGCGACATCTATCCCTCAAGGACAGCACAGACTCCTCCTCGCCCCCAGACCTGTACTGCAGACTTCCACCTGTCACAGCACGTCCAGAGCCCCTGGCCTAAGCTGAGTGCCTCTCCAGGATGCTGTGTCCTCTGACTCCCAGACCCTCTCTGAAGGATCAGGGAAACTCCTGGCCAAGGGCCTCTCCACTCACAGCACGGCCACCCCTCCCCTCAGAACAGCCTGCCTGCTCTTCAGCCGGCCGGCTGTCAGTAGCTCTCAGTTCCTTACGGCTCTGCTCACAGTCCCCGGACCGCCCCCGCCTGCCCACCTGCAGCACACAGGTTAATCAGAGGCTCCTTCAGGTCACTCCCAGCTGCCCACAACAAAGGCAGTCAGAACTCCAGCCACCTCAGCAGAGCGTCCTCACAGCCCATGCTACCCTTCCAACACCCATGTCACTACTCCAAAACACCCCGCCCCTCGCAGAGACCATCCACTCCTGCCACACCCCACAGGCATTTTCTAACAATTTGACACATAGGTCTGATATCAGGAGCCCCTCTATGTACACCCTGCACACCCAACACCCCCATATCATGTACTCAAGTTCCTCAGCGGATCAGGGATCTCAACTACTCAACATTCACATTTGTACTGACCACATATATCGGGCGGGGAACGTCCGGCCCGTGAAATCACTTGGTCTGGCCCTGTCAAGGCATTAGGGGTGAGTTAGTGAAATGTGTGACCAAATATAGCAGGCTAATGTTTAAGTTAATAATGTTGTATGGCCTGTGAATGATGTGATAAATATCCACACGGCCCTTGGGAGAAAAAAGGTTCCCCACCCCTGAGTATGTGTTCCAACACCCTACAAACTATAATTCCCCACACCTTCACCCAGCACATACCCCAGTGCTTCTCTAAAATTGTGTATCCCATCACGCACACCTGTGGCTCCCAATATCCCTGGATATAGATCATGAGTCTAGTAACACCCAGACATAGATCTTTATCCCAATAACACCGTACCTGGACCATGTACTCCACCAGGCCATTCAGACCACAGTCCCTGTACCCCAAATCCTCTCATGCCAACCTCAGAACCCCTCATGTACCTCAACCAACACGTCCTTTCCAATAACTTTATGGACCATCTACCCTATATTGCTCATACCAACCATGTACCCTAACGCCCTAACTACCCATATACACCATGCCTCATAGTAACCCATACACACAATGCATAGAAGTATCATTTACTCTAATCCAGTGGTTCCCAACCTGTGGGTCGCGACCCCTTTGGCAGTCAAACGACCCTTTCACAGGGGTCGCCTAAGACCATCCTGCATATCAGATATTTACATTACGATTCATAACAGTAGCAACATTACAGTTATGAAGTAGCAACGAAAATAATTTTATGGTTGGGTCACAACATGAGGAGCTGTATTTAAAGGGCCAGAAGGTTGAGAACCACTGCTCTAATCTCATCCAGATTCCAAGCATCCTAATAGAACATTTACAGAACACCCTGTGTGAGAACCATCCACTCCACATTCTCCTGCCCGCTCATGGACTACTTACCCCACCCAGTATTCTCCGGTGAATTCTTCACCCCAGGGCTTCCACACGGACTGTCCATCTCAGCCCTCCCCATTCGTGGACTCTCCACTCCCACATCTTCATACAGGCTGTCCAACCCGTGTCCCCCTCAGTGGGTGGTCTCATCACCCCCCCCACCCCCCGGTGTGAAAGATCCATCCAACACTTGCCGCCAATGGACTATCTACTCCAACATCTCCATGTAAATTATCCACCCTGCCCCACGCCACCCATGCCCACACCTTCAGTATTTTTAACCATCACTTACTGCCAACCTGCTCGGGGCCCGACACATTCAGGTGATCTCACCGAGTCTCCACACCAGCTGTGGAAGGAAGAGGTTGACTCAGGCACACACACACAGACAACATAGACACTCATATTCTCACGTACACGCATGCCTTACTGACTTCACCCCATTCTCGTCCTGTCACAGAGAACAGGCCCTGATCTTAATGGGTCCTCATGGGCCGTTATTGCCCGTTGGGAGAGGCCTTCCCCAGGCTGGGCTGGGCCCTGCTCACCCATCCCTCCCTCTGTGGTTGAGGTGAAACCAGTCAGCCTGGGGGAGCCGCCTCAGACGCCAGGGTTCCAAATCTCCCCTGAAAGAAACCTGGAGCCAAACTCGGCCTCGTCCGGGTCCTCTCCTTGACAGTGGCCACACTTTGGGCCTCCGAGCGCTTCCTGGCACCTTATGTGTCCGGCTGGCCTGGGGCACTGTGTTTCCTATTCCCTGTTTGTGGACTGAAGCCCTGCACTGGGGGAGGGGGCTTTTTGGCATTAAAACAAGGTTTGATGAGGGGCGAGTGCCCCTGGTGGGAAATTTACCATCTGGGGGGAGAGCAGGCCTGGGTAGGGGATGAGGTTTTGCGGGGAGGGGTACAGAGGGAAGAGGTGGAGTGGAGGGCAAGACCTGATGACCCCTTTCCCTGCTTTGCCCCACTTTGGGGAGATGGGGTGAGAAGCCAGGCCTGTGAGTGCGGATGGAAGAGCAGTGCTGGGGCTGAGAGGCTGAGTAGGTGGGCAGGCAGCCTTAGCTGACCGACCCCCAGCCCTCCAGGTTGGTCCAGAGGGAAGCAGAGTCCTTTCTGCTGCAGCCCCTCCTCTCCACAGCCTGGGGAGCAGGCAGGTGCTTGGCTGGCCCTGAAGAGGGTCTGCGTGAGTGGTGACCAGGTGGCACAGCTGGCATTGGTCTCCCGGGCAGGCCTCCCCTCCCCTCCAACCCGCCTCTAACTCCGTTTCATTTCCAGCGACTAGCCAACACATGGACAAGCCAGATCCTTTCCAGCCAAGTCAGTATGTCTTAAGACAGGCCTCAGCCCACTTAGGCACCCCCACCCCCACCCCCCGCCACCACCAAAACAAGCCTTTTCTTTGGGGCATGACTTTTTCCGGGGAGGGGAACAAAATTGGGTTGTAGAAACGTTTTTCTCTTTTCTTGGTTTCTTTTTCTTGCAAACAAATTTTGCTTTTTTTGGCTTATTTTTTCTGCCCCCCCATCCTCCCCTTTTCTGCGTTCTGTCCTCTCCCTTCCCCATCCACAACCTCCCCCGACCCCCATCTTTCCCCACAAAATTGTCCTTTTTTCTCTGTTTTGTGTTCCCGGTCTTAGGTCCGCTCACAAAAAAACGTGACGAGGCGACGCTCAATCCGCCAGACACAGGTAGATTTAAAAACCCCGCTGCTGCATGTGGTTGCTGATAAGAGGACGTTCACGTTCACGGCCCTGCCCCCAACTAAATGCCCCCCAGCCCTCAAGGCCCTCAGTTGTTCTCCCAACTAAAAACGAAAAAGAAAAGAAAAGAAAAATTTATAATAATTGGAAAAGAGAATTATGAAAACTTCAAACGAAATTTGAACAATGTTGGACCCACTAGAAAACCTGCAAGAAAAGCTAAACCTGGCGAAAACAAAATGAAAAAAAGAAATTGGAATGTCAGAAAAAAAATAAAACACCAAAGAATTGGATAAAATGCTTAGAGTTTGACCGAAATTTGGACTGTTTTGAAACTTGTGAAATGTAACATTTGAAAAAAACAATTAAAATTTGAAGCAAAACATTTGAAAAAAAAAAATTTAAGATGGCAAATTGATGACACAATTGAAACATCAGAAACCTGCTACAATTTCCAAAAGCCTGTCAGATGCAGGAAACGCAAACATTTGAAGCAAATTAAAGAATTTGGAAATTTTTGAAAACAGGGCCCAATATCTTGAAGTTTCACCACAAAATTTTGAAAAAAAAATGCAAAGAACTTTTTTCTTTTTTTCTTGTTTTCCAAAAAACGGATCTTTTTTTTTTCTTCTTCTTCTTCTTGTTGAATCTGCCCCAAGAGCTTCTTGCTTTTTGGTTTCGTCTTTTTTTCTTTTTTTCTTGTTTTCCAAAAAACGGATCTTTTTTTTTTCTTCTTCTTCTGCTTGTTGAATCTGCCCCAAGAGCTTCTTGCTTTTTGGTTTCGTCTTTTTTTCTTTTTTTCTTGTTTTCCAAAAAACGGATCTTTTTTTTTTCTTCTTCTTCTGCTTGTTGAATCTGCCCCAAGAGCTTCTTGCTTTTTGGTTTCGTCTTTTTTTCTTTTTTTCTTGTTTTCCAAAAAACGGATCTTTTTTTTTTCTTCTTCTTCTTCTTGTTGAATCTGCCCCAAGAGCTTCTTGCTTTTTGGTTGTTGTTTTTTTTCTTTCTTGATCCCGTTTTTTGTTGTGGGTTTTGAATTCTTGTTGCCCCAGCCCCCCTTCTTGCTCCTTCCCTGTCTGACTCCCCTCCCCCCACTCGGGAGTGGAGGTGCTGGGTGGGGAGGAGTGGGGAGAGCTAAGGACATTTAGGACAGGACTTGGACTCCAGCTTGAACTACTGGAAAGCCACTGGAGGTTCAGGAACAAAGGGAAATTTGGGGAGGACACACAGGGGGCACTGCCCACCCAGAAGCTCCTGGCTAAAGTCAGGCAGAGGGAGGTGGCGGAGAAGGTCCTAAGAGATAGGAGGCAGGAAGCCAGTCGGGGGTGGGGGGAAGTATCTTAGTGACCTGTTGACCCTCTGGCTAGAAGAAAGTTCCTATCGGGATGCAGGAGGCTGGCCGGGCCATGGGGACCCACTGTGGAGGCCGGGCCGGGCCCTTGTTTGCCGAGTGCCTAGTTTAGTGAGAGATTGCAGGTGTCAAGAAAGGAAGGTCTGGGCCAGGGCTCACCCAGCCCTGGTGCTGTAATGCATCACGGAGAGGCTACGGGGAGGGTGCTTCCTATGTATGTAGCCTTGGGGACTGTGGCACGTCCTCTCAGACTCCCACTCCTCAGTCCAGCCTGGAGTGCCCCAAAGTCTACTACCTGTAGCAGTGATTCTGGGATCCTCTGGGGACATGAGAAGAGAAAGGTCCGGCGCGGAACCCAGGGCTCAGGCCAGTTTGCGGGGGGCTCCGAGACTAGACAGCGGCACCCTGGCTTCATTAAGCAGGCTCTTTCCCACCCTGCCTCCTTCTGCCATAGTAATTAGGCTGGGGGTTGCCATGGTGACTGGGGAGGTGACCTAGAAAGGAATTAGGGCGGGGAGGAGACCAAGCCCCCAGGGACCCTAGGGCCTGGCACCCCGTCATGGACAGACTAGGCTACCACGTGGAGCTGAGGCCCAAGGCCTAAGTCTGAGAAAAGGCCAGGATCCTCCCAGCATCTTTAGCTCCAGCGCCAGCCTTAGGAGCACACTGTCCCTAGGAGCAGGAAGGAGATTTGCTCTGTGTGGGGGGGAGGGGGTCCCCTGGATCCAGATGCCCTGAGGAGGGCCACACCCACCCCTGCCTCTGTTAGGGCTCCTGGAAGGTCTGCCTGCACTGGAAGAAGTGCTGTGGAGCAGACTGGCAGGAGGTGGGGAGGGACCTGCTCCCAGAGCTAGCTGGGGAGGGAGGGCGGGGAATCCGGTCTTGCCCCCCAGGGATGGGAATGGCATGTCCCCTGAGCTCTGGGCTGGTCTTCAGCAGGCCTGGGAGCTGGGAGGAGCTGCTTCTGGTCTCACTGTGTCCTTGTCCCCCACTCCCGGCCCACCTGCCCACCCCCTCCCCACGCAGATATCCGGGACTCGGGGAAGAAGCCTGTGATGCTGTTTCTGCACAGCGGCTCCTACATGGAGGGCACCGGGAACATGTTCGATGGCTCTGTCCTGGCCGCCTATGGCAACGTCATTGTAGCCACGCTCAACTACCGGCTTGGGGTGCTCGGTGAGGGAGGGCAGTCAAACCTAGGGAGTCTGGGAGGGGGGCCTGGTGGGTGGCGTCCTTTAGACCCAGCAGCAGCAACAAAATGGCTTCTGGGATGGACTGAGCTGCCCAGATAGGGGCGAGGACACTGTAACACCCCCAGGTAGCTCCCTTTCTGCCTTTCCCTCCAGGTTTCCTCAGCACTGGGGACCAGGCTGCGAAAGGCAACTATGGACTCCTGGACCAGATCCAGGCCCTGCGCTGGCTCAGTGAAAACATCGCCCACTTCGGGGGTGACCCCGAGCGCATCACCATCTTTGGGTCTGGGGCAGGCGCATCCTGTGTCAACCTTCTGATCCTCTCCCACCATTCAGAAGGTACCGGCAACCTCATCAGCCTGCCAGTCCCGTCCCCTTTCCCGTATCCCTGAACCTGCCGGGTCCCCCTTCTCTCTTGGGCTGACCCTGCCCAGCCTGAAGCTTGCCTGTCCCCCCAGGGTTATTCCAGAAGGCCATCGCCCAGAGTGGCACTGCCATTTCCAGCTGGTCTGTCAACTATCAGCCGCTCAAATATACGCGGCTGCTGGCGGCCAAGGTGGGCTGTGACCGGGAGGACAGTGCTGAAGCTGTGGAGTGTCTGCGCCGGAAGCCTTCCCGGGAGCTGGTGGACCAGGACGTGCAGCCCGCCCGGTATGGGTATTGGGACGGGGGTGGGAGCGGGCCAGGGCCAGGTCTGCGCTCACCTTGCTGGTCCCGGGGAGGTTGAGGTTGAGAGGTGTCTGCAGGCATTTTACTTGGCAAAGGAGAGGTGGGCTTCAGGCCCCTCTGATGGCCCTGTCTTCCATTCTTGGGAGCCTTCCCCGAGTGTGCACAGGGTGCCCGAAAGTGCTTCAGAGAAGACCTCCCAACAGGCCACGTGCCCTTGAGGGTTCCCAGATGTTCACTAAGGAGCAGTGTCTTCAGGGCAGAGGCTCAGCAAGCTCTGAGCGCAGTGGAGGCCAGCGAGCTGGTGACGAGACCCTACCCCTTCTCCCCAGCTACCATATCGCCTTCGGGCCCGTGGTGGACGGCGACGTCGTCCCCGATGACCCCGAGATCCTCATGCAGCAGGGAGAGTTCCTGAATTACGACATGCTCATCGGTGTCAACCAAGGAGAGGGCCTCAAGTTCGTGGAGGACTCAGCAGAGAGCGAGGACGGCGTGTCCGCCAGCGCCTTTGACTTCACGGTCTCCAACTTTGTGGACAACCTGTATTCCTACCCGGGGGGCAAGGACGTGCTGCGGGAGACCATCAAGTTTATGTACACAGACTGGGCCGACCGGGACAACGGTGAGATGCGGCGCAAGACCCTGCTGGCACTCTTTACTGATCACCAGTGGGTGGCACCAGCCGTGGCCACCGCCAAGCTGCATGCCGACTACCAGTCCCCCGTCTACTTTTACACCTTCTACCACCACTGCCAGGCTGAGGGCCGGCCCGAGTGGGCAGACGCAGCGCACGGGGACGAGCTCCCCTACGTCTTTGGCGTGCCCATGGTGGGCGCCACCGACCTCTTCCCCTGCAACTTCTCTAAAAATGACGTCATGCTCAGTGCCGTGGTCATGACCTACTGGACCAACTTCGCCAAGACCGGGTGAGGGCCAGAGGGGCGGGCGGGGCCCACGCAGGCCAAGGCGCACACACCTCCACCCCAGTCCTTCTCCCTCTTACGCCCTCGCAAGGCCCTCTGTCATCGGCACTCTTGCCTTTCCAGCTCAGACACCTGCTGGACACCCGCTCTGTGCCAGGCACCGAGTTGCGTGTTGGAGAACTCGGCAGTTAAACACAGAGGTCCCTGTCCGTTCTGGGGTGGGCTCCCTTGGTGGCTTTGGCTCCATGCCTGTCTCTTCATCCCTCCCTTGCCTGGTCGCCCTCTCTCTTTCTTCTCCCAGGGCTCTGCCCTCTGACGACTCCCATCTGTGTATGAGTACGTGTGCGCGATTGTGTCTGTCTGTCTTTATTGCTGTCTCTACATCTCTCACCCGTGAAAGCCATTGATATCTCTCCCTTTCCCTTTGATCTGTTTGCTTCTTGTTGCTGATTTCACCCTGGCTGCCTCTCCTGTGTCTTTGTCTTCCTGTTTCTACGCGTCTCTATCTCACTCGGTCTCAGCCTCCGCCTCTCCCGCTGGCTGTTTCTCTGTCTCTGCTTATCTCTGTCCCTCCGTCCTCATCTCTGTCTCTAGCAGTCTGTCTCTTTCC